TACAAATAACGTGAAAAAACACACATAATAGCACAATTGGTTAGGAGCCCATAAAATGGCAGCCATCTCCTCCGGTGCAATCCTTTTCAGTTGGACCGCAGAGTGAGGGAAAAGCAGCCAACAAGTGCTCAGCATATGTGGGAACTCCTTCAAAAGCATTCAAGGTGACTACCTTATGAAGCTGGTTGAGAGAATGCCAAGAGTGTGCAAAGCTGTCATCAAGGCAAAGGGTGGCTACTTTGAAGAATCTGAAATATAAAATATATTTTGATTTGTTTAACACTTTTTTGGTTACTACATGATTCCATATGATGTTATTGCATAGTTTTGATGTCTTCACTATTATTCTACAATGTAGAAAATAGCAAAATTAGTAGGTATGTCCAAACTTTTGAATGGTACTGTATGTAAATAAGGTATTTCTGTTGCAAAATTTTCTAAAAACCTGTTTTCGCTTCGTCATTATGGGGTATTGTGTTTAGATTGATAAGGGGGAAAAATAATTGTATCCATTTTAGAATAAGGCTGTAACGTAACAAAATATGGAAACAGTTAAGGGGTCTGAATACTTTCCGAATGCACTGTATATGTGTGTGTGTATATGTCTGTGTGGGTGTGTGCATGAGTGAGTGCATGTGTGCTAAGGTGCGGAGAATACGAGCAGGTGGTCAGTCCAGTTCAAGTGTTCAGCAGTCTGATGGCTTGTAGATAGAAACTGTCTCTGAGCCTGTTGGTATCAGACATCATGCTCCGATACGTCTGCCCGACGGTTAGGGAGAGAACAGCTTGTGGCTGGGGTGTGTGGGGTCCTTGATGATGCTGCAGGTACCTTTTCAAGTAGATGTTCAGGATGGTGGGAGCATGGTCCCAGTGATGTACTGGGCCATCTCCACCACCCACTGGAGGGCCTTGCGGTCGTGGACGGAGCAATTCCTGTTCCAGGCCGTGATGCAACTGGTCAGGACACTCAATGGTGCAGCGGTAGTATTTTCTTCAGCCGCCTTAAGAAGTAGAAGCGCTGTTGCACCCTCTTGACAAGAGTGGTGGTGTTGTTGGTCCATGACAAGTCCTCGGTGATGTGGATGCTGAGGAACTTAAAACTTGTGACTCTCTCTACTGCAGTCCCATTGATGTGGATCAGGGCATGTTCCCTCCTCTGCTTCCTGAAGTCAACAATCAACTCCTTTGTTTTGCTGACATTTATTCAAGATAAAAATGTATTGCTATTTTGATACATGAGGCTTATTTGATCTAATAGAAGTTTTGTAATGCTTAGGTTTTTATGAGTGTGCTAATATAAGTGTGATGCATGTGCTGATATTCTAGACCTCTATGCATATTCATGAGGCTAGCATAGCATCTAACTTTCCATTGAATACAGGCGGTTGACGTCAACACCCCCATCGAATATTTAAAAAAAGTATTAAAATAGCGAGATACACCAATCCAAAGAGAGGAATAGGCGGGAGCTTGACAGCCTGGCGGTCCACTCTGTGGACAACGAATCCTACTGTTAGGGCGGAGACACAAGCGTCTTGTCACTGGCTTGAAAATGTGTCATTGGCTTTGATACTCTGGTTAGAGACGATCCAATCGCTGATTACTTTGTTTTGTACAATGCCCCACGTGCCCCTCGTCACCACAAACGACTTCAATGATGGCAACCTCAGACTAAAGTATGTAGCGAATGACAGAGCAGCAGAAGAATTTAGTGTGAGTTGTTAGGCTAAGAGCATGGTGCTTGCAACCCCAGGATAGTGGGTTCGATTCCCAGGACCACCCATATGTAAAATGTATGCACGCATGACAGTTTCTTCGAATAAAAGCGTCTGCTAAATGGCATATATAATATACACTGAGTATACCAAACATTAGGAACACCTTCCTAATATTGAGTTGCACCACCCCCTTTTGCCCTCTGAACAGTCTCAATTCATCGGGGCATGGACTCTACAAGGTGTGGAAAGGGTTCCATAGGGATGCTGTGTGTGCATGATGTGCTTCTTGTGTGCCTCTTGCTAGCTGCACTCAAATGGCGAGGGGCTGAAGCTCATTGGCTGAACTGGAATTACTAGGGGGCTGGCCCACATGGGGAAAAATGGGACATCACAGCTTCCAGAAAAACTGTAGCTTTCAAACTAGGGATTTCGTGGCTAATTGAGGTAAAACAGTAATGGTGCTCATTGATTATGCATGTATGAACTACACATTGACACATCCAGCTCAAAGCGGGAGGTTTAAAAAAATACTTAGTAGTGGCCAAAGTTCCGGAGCATGTCTTTAAGTGAAAATCACCATAAATGTACTGTCACTGTAGAATAAATCCCAGCAGCGTTGCAGTTCTTGACACAAACCGGTGCGCCTGGCACCTACTACTAGGGGTATGCCGAAATGGCCATACTCGTATTCGTATCCGGAAATTGACAGTTGATAGTAGGATCGGATTATATTTGTGATCGGAAAAAATGAAAGTGTTTTAATATGCCTAAATAGATGTTGGCAAAATACTTCCCTGCACATTCTCACTGCAAAAAAAAAAAAACTGCAGATTAGAAGCAGAGTCCGGAGGGGTGTGTCTGTGTCCTCAATTTGTAGCGGGCAGCCAAATCAGAACGCGGCAGCCAGGTCAGAATGCGCATCGGCGTTTCATATTTTTTCCCTTCCCTTGCCCCGCTTGTTAGATATTATGCACATTGATAGCAAATCTCCTCGCCATGTGATTTATCATAGTAGCAGGCAGCAGCAATCTAAATGATCAGACCGAAAACATGCAAAGAAAAGTGATCGGGTGAAATTATGAAGCAAGTGGAGGGAAAAATACATTTTCCCTCTATCCAATCAGAGCAGCAGGATCAACGTACAGCTGCCTTCTCTTTACATACAGATGGGCAAACTAGCCAGTTGAGTTATTTAGACCATGTAGAACCTCACACATGACTGAAAGACAGTACATTATGGTTTAGAAACTCTGTGACTGACTGACATGAGAAAGATGCTTGCTGGCACCCGAAAGTAACTTTTTTTTTCAGATCACGGATAATTACAAAAAAATTCTCAGATCATAATCGTATCCAGAAAATGTTCCATGTCCATAAAGATATTGTTTTGTCTGACTACTCGGCACACCCTTACCTACCACCATACCCGTTCAAAGGCACTTCAATATTTTGTCTTGCCCATTTACTCTCTGAATGGCACACACACAATCCATGTCTCAAGGCTTAAAAATCTTCCCCTTCATCTACACTGATTGAAGTGCATTTAACATTTACTTTTGATACTTAAGCATATTTAAAACCAAGTACTTTTAGACTTTAACTCAAGTAGTATTTTGCTGGGTGACTTTTACTTGAGTCATTTTCTATTAAGGAATCATACTTTTATTCAAGTTTGACAATTGGGTACTTTTTCCAACACTGCCCATAATGACAAAGAAAAAACAGGTTTTTAGAAATGTTTACCAATTTAAAAAAATATTACAACTGAAATATCACATTTACATAAGTATTCAGACCCTTTACTCAGTAATTTATTGAAGCACCTTTGGCAGCGATTACAGCCTCGAGTCTTCTTGGATATGACGCTACAAGCTTGGCACACCTGTAGTTGGACAGTTTCTCCCATACTTCTCTGCAGATCCTCTCAAGCTCTGTCAAGTTGGATTGGGAGCATTACTGCACAGCTATTTTCAGGTCTCTCCAGAGATGTTCGATCGGGTTCAAGTCCGGGCTCTACCATAAAGGCCTGATTGGTGGAGTGCTGCAGAGATGGTTGTCCTTCTGGAAGGTTCTCCCATCTCCACAGAGGAACTCTAGAGCTCTGTCAGAGTGACCATCAGGTTCTTGGTCACCTCCCTGACCAAGGACCTTCTCCCCCGATTGCTCAGTTTGGCCGGGTGGCCAGCTCTAGGAAGAGTCTTTGTGGTTCCAAACTTCTTCCACTTAAGAATGATGGAGGCTGTGTTCTTCGGGACCTTCAATGCTGCAGAAATGTTTTGGTACCCTTCCCCAGATCTGTGCCTCGACACAATCCTGTCTCAGCGCTCTACGGACAATTCATTCGACCTCATGGCTTGGTTTTTGCTCTGACATGCACTGTCAACTGTGGGACCTTTTATAGAC